CAAATGCACAGATTCCTTTTCTTCACCTTTGTCCATCTAGGCTGTGTACTGTTGAGCCCATCAAAATAATTCTTCATCTTTGATAGCATGTTTTACCTTTTTCACATTCCTGTCTGATTTCATTCCTCTGCTGAGACTCTCCATCTGTGTATTCCTGTTAACCACCTTCACCATATGCCTTTCCCTTTTAATCACAGTTCTCTGACAGGCCCTCCTGGTGGCAACAGCACAAGTGCTGTCTGACACTAGTCCACTTGATTGCCTGCCCTCTTGGCAGTGAGTGATTTTTCCTTGCTTTTTAGTGGGTCTCGTAACTTTATTTGGATATTGTACATCATGATAAGAATAGCAGAGATTGTCACAGTGAGATATCAGCCTCACCTCATTTAATATGGCTGTTATCAAAAAGAAATGTTGGGGAGGGTATGGAGAAAGGGGAACCCAAACTAGCACACTGCTGGTGGAAATGTAAATTGGCATAGCTACTATGGAGAACAGTGTAGAGGTCCCTCAAAAAACTAAAATTAGAACTGCCATGTGGTCTCGCAATCCTACTATTTGGTATATATGCAAAAGGAAATCAGTATATTGAAGGCCTGTCCACACCCCTGTGTTTAAGCACTATTCACAGTGGCCAAGATGTGGAATCAGATAAAGAAAATGTGGTCTATACAGTGGAATATTAGCCAGAAAAATAATGAAATCCTGTTATTTTCAGCAACATGAACGGAACTGGAATTCATTATGTTAAGTGAAATAAACCAGTCATAGAAAGACAAATAGTACATTTTCTCAATCATAGGTAGGATCTAAAAAGGTTGATCTCATAGAGGTAGTAAGTACAATAATAGATAACAGAGGCTAGAAAGTTTAGAGGAAGAGGGTATGAAGACAGGTTGATTATGGGGCACAAAAATATAATTACTAATAGATAAAAGGAATAAATTCTAGTATTTGGTAGTACAGTAGGGAAATAATAGTAATTTATTGTATATTTCAAAGTTGCTCATCTTTAAGAGAAGAATTGCAATATTCCCAACACAAAGACACTGCCTGGGCAACATGGCAAAACCCCATCTCTACAAAAAATAAAAAATGAGCCGGGCTTGGTGGTGCACATCTGTGGTCCCAGCTGCTCCACATCTGGGGAGGCTGAGGTGGGAAGATTGAGCCCAGGAAGCAGAGGCTGCAGTGAGCCCATATCACGCCACTGAACTGCAGCCTGAGTGACAGAGCAAGGCCCTGTCTCCTCCTCCTCCCCACCAAAAGATAAATATTTGAGGCGATGGCTATCCCAGTTACTCTAATTTGTGCGTTTTAAATTGTATACATGCATCGAGGTATCACATGTACCCCCAAAATATGTACAACTATTATACATCAGTTTTAAAAAGAAAAACAGACATTGAGATAAATATATACTTCTGAAATGGGCTCACCTCCTCTTAGGCTGTTGATAGGCAGAAGGTGTTCAGTCTAGTCAGGAGTCGATTTGGGTTGGGGTTTTGTTCAGTGTTTGGGTCTGGGCCTTCAATGCCTCACAAGTTTCAGATTCCTTCAGTGATGGGCTGCTGTTCATTTGCTTGGAGTGAGGGTTTGAGTGCAGAAGGAAGGGTTTTTCTCTGAATTCCTGCTTCCCCCCTAGCTTTCAGCTCTTACCACATGGTTGCATCTCTGTGGGAGTCACAGTTCATGTTCTTGCTCTTCCTGCAGAGGTCATCTGCTGTTGCGTGTTATTCACATTAGAGGACAGGTGGAAAGTGAGGGGGTGTGCCTGTTGTCCTTAGGTAGGTTCTGTGTTGCTGGAACTTAAGGATGCAGCTTCCTCAGGGCTCCTGCACCTCCTCCTGCAGAGGTAACTGACCTCTATGTGGTCCTGCTGTAGGATCCTATGCCCACAAGGAGAGAGAAAGGTGTCATCATCTCCTCTTTCTCAGCGTCAGAGGATCTTAACCTGGTGAGGGAACAGGGAGCATTTCTTCCACATTCCCAAGAGGCAGAGGGACTTTGCTGCTGCTTCTCCCTCCAGAGTGATGGATCTTTGCCTGTGCTCTAGGAAGCGGGGAAGAGGGTGTGCAGGAAAGAAAACAATAGTCATGTTATATACAGCGAGGGCCACATGTGGATAGAGTTTATATAGTCATAACAATGCAAGCACTGAATGTTGAGCTAAACAAATAATGTCACTCTGTCAGGAGGATGTGAAGATGGAGATATTTCTGTTTTGGGAAGCCTCAGCGTGTTAAATGAACACTTAAATTGTCATATTTAGTGTAAGGTCAATAAAGTGTATAAATATTCAGTGTAAGGTGAGTAATTAAAGCCTAAGACTGGAAAACTTAAAATGTCAAATGTAAGGATGCTATTTAGAAATAATGAGGGCCAGGTGTGTTGGCTCACTCCTGTAATCCCAGCAATTTGGGAGGCTGAGGTGGGTGGATCACTTGAGACCAGGAGGTTGAGACCAGCATGGCCAACTAGCGGAACCCCAACTCTACTAAAAATACAGAAATTAGCCTAGTATGGTGGCATATGCCTGTAGTTGGGGTTCCCAAGAATTGCTCATACCCGGGAGGCGGAGGTTGCAGGGAGCTGAGATCACACCACTGCACTTCAGCCTAGGCGGCAGAGCAAGACTCCATCTCGGGAAAAAAAAAAAAAAAAAAAAAGAATGAGGTAAATATTAAATAAGCTTCAAAAAGTCATAATTTTTTATTCTAAGAAGTGGAAAATGGATGGGAGGAGGAGACAAATGGACTGCTTTTTTGTTGCCAAGCCACGGAGAACTGTATGACATTCAAAGATAGTTGAGTAAAGATGTTGATAAAATTAAATATTCAATTCTATAAATATAAAATGTGATAAAGTTTAAAACTGAGTTCTAAAAGTTTATAACACAAAGGTAGGGATAAAGGTGTAGGGAAAGTAGGCATTCTCATAAGTTGGTGAAGGGATTCCAACTGGTGCAGCCTTTAAGGAGATCAGCAGGTGACTGCATCAAAGTTCCAAATTCAGTAGTTCCTACTGCAGAGGTGGTAGAAAATTGTATGTCACACTTGCATACAATAAGACTAGAAACAGTCTAAATATTGTTAGTAGGTGGCTGAGTGCAGTGGCTCATGCCTATAATCCCAGCACATTGGGAGGCCAAAATGGGTGGATCACCTGAGATCAGGAGTTCAAGACCAGCCTGGCCAACATGGCGAAACCCCATCTCTACTAAAAAAAAAATACAAAAATGAGCAGGGCATGGTGGCAGGCACCTGTAATCCCAGCTACTCAAGTGGCTGAGGCAGGGAGAATTGCTTGAACCCGGGAGGTGGAGGTTGCAGTGAGCCATGATTGTGCCACTGCACTGCAGCATGGGCAATAGAGTGAGACTCCTCTAAGTAAGTAAGTAAAGTAAGTAAGTAAGTAAAGAAAGTAAGTAAATAAATAAATAACCAGTAGGTAAATGCTTAGCAGCCATACAGTGGAATATTATCTAGCCATTAAAGAAAAGGGTGATACTTTATGTACTTCTGTGAAATGATATCCCAGGTAAGAAGCAAGGTGCAGAATGGCAATGGTGGTCTTCAGAAAATTACCAGAGAAACTGGAAGTACTTCTGTTTCTAAGGAAATAGGGAAGTAGTTCACTTCTAAGGAAGTAAACTTGATAGCTTAGGGATAGAGCTGGGAGGAAGATTTTTTTTGCCGTGTACTCTTTTGTGCCTTTTGAATTTTAAACCATTTGAGTCAGTTACCCATATAAAGTTTTAAAATAAAATTATAAAAATGGTTAAACACATTGGGTTAATTACATGGAAAATACTTTGTTTCTTAATTTCCATTATATATTATAAATTCTGAATGGATCATATGACTAAATGAGAGAATCAATATGTTAAAACCAGGCCAGGCACAGTGGGTCACACCTGTAATCTTATAATCCCAGCACTTTGGGAGGCTGAGGCAGGAGGATTGCTTTGAGCCCTGGCTGGTCTTATCTCGAACTCCTGTGCTAGAATCAACTCCTGATCCCAGGAGAAAAGAGAAAAGATTAATTTGTCTACACTAAAATTTAAAAACTGACATAAAAATGTCTTAAAGAGAATGCTGTGACAATCACAGACTGAGAAGATTGTTGAAACACATTGTCAAGATTTGGTGTACAGATTAACTTCTACAAATCAGTGAGGAGAAGAGTTCAGGGGACACTTCAGTTGAATCATGTGCAATAAACATAGGTTGGTCAGTCACAGTGTCTCATGGCTATAATCTCAGCACTTTGGGAGGCCAACATGGCAGATCACTTGAGTTTAGTAATTCGAGACCATCCTGGGCAACATAGGGAAATCCCATCTCTCTTAAAAATGCAAAAAAAAAAAAAAATTAGCTGGGCATGGTGGTACACACTTATAGTCCCAGCTAGTCAGGAGGCTGAGGTGGGAGGATCGCTTGAGCCTGGGAGGCAGAGGTTGCAGTGAGCTGAGATCGTCCCACTGCACTCCAGCCTGGGCAATACAGCTAGATTCTGTCTCGAAAAACATATGTTTGTTAAAAATATTAACAGGCAGTTCACAGAAAAAAACTGAACTGTGGAAAAAAAGTTCAATTTCGCTTGTAACCAGAGGAAAGCAAAAGAACGCATTTCATATCTGTCAAGTTGGCAAAAGTGTGAAAATAGGACTTCAAGGTTTGGGTTGGAATGTAGAGAAACTTACATTGTGATTTTTTGGAGTTGTATATTTTTTATAGCTAGGATGACACTTCGTATCTGATTTTGATAGTTTTTTTATGTACAACGTAGACATCTTTCCATTTTAACATGATATATAGAACTCCAAACTCCATTTTTAGATGTATTTAACAGTATATATTACCTACTGATAAGGCTAATTTGGGTAGGATTCTGTCTGAAGGAAGGGTAACAGTGTAGAGAACCTCAAGGTTTTTCTTACCTTAGGGTTTTATAGTTTTCGATTTTTAAATATAGATTGTTTTCTGCTTTTTTAAAAGACATTATTGCAAGAGCATCTCAAGCAGACGTCGTTACAATCGTGATTTGGAACAGGATGAAGCATTTATTCCAGTTGGAGAATCACTAAAAGACCTTATTGATCAGTCACAAAGTTCTGGTAGTGGGTCTGGACTACCTTTATTGGTAAGTTGAAAGTTCATGTAAATATGAATGGTGTGTTGATTTAAAATGTGTCCTCACGATGCTGGACAGCATAATTATTGCAGATCAGGGAACAATAATGGACACATTTTTTTCTCCTTATTTAGAAAGAGGCGTGCACTATTGCAAGGTGAAATTAGTTAAAAATAAGAAATACAAACCAAGAAAAAGTAGAATAGGCAAGTAAGATAGAGCTATAAACAAGGTTAGGAACCAAGTCCTATAGAGAGGGCAGGAAAAGTTAGATCATGAAGTTCTGTATGAAGGGCAAGAGTTAGCTCACAAGATTTGCTCTAAGCATTTATTTTACCAGCCAATTTAAAGAGGAATCAGGAATAAGATTCCTTGTATCTATAAGGTTATACTGATTGACTGAGGGAACTGTAACTATTTCAGATTCTAAAATCAAAAAGAAACTTCTTCAACAGATATTCTTGGAGAGGATACTTCTTTCAGTATAATACTACCAAAACATAATCAATGTATTTTACCAAGATACAGTTCAGTTAAAAATAAAAAAAACTATTACCAAAACATAGTTCAATAAAAATAATTTTAAAGGGATTGCAAATAAATTCCAACAGAGTTAGACTGATTCTTGGTATCAGGGGAAAAAATAATCCCAGCAGGTTCATTTGTATATGGAAATACTCAGATTTGTGGGTTGAGGGAACTCTTGTTTGAGAGGACCTGTATTAAGAACACTAGATATCCAGATAGGTTTTAGTTTTTAATGGTATTAGTTGAAAGAAACTGTCTCTTATTATTTCATTTTATTTTGTTTTGTTTTTATTTTATTGAGACAGCCTTGTTATGTCGCCCAGGCTGGAGTGCCGTGGCTCAGTCTTGGCTCACTGCAACCACTGCTTCCCAGATTCAAGCGATTCTCATCTCAGCCTCCAAAGTAGCTGGGATTACCGGATGCACAACCACACCTGGCTAGTGTGTGTGTGTGTGTGTGTGTGTGTGTGTGTGTGTGTGTGTGTGTG